AAATGTGCGCGCTACAATTATATCTTATTTAAAAATGTTTTGGTTATTTTTTAAAGTTTCTGAAAAACTGGTTTTCTAGAAAACTGGGTCTTCAAGAAACATGGGCAAGAAGGCTTTATGCCACTAGAATCAGCTCGTCGAGCTCTACAAACTGGGATATCTCCCATTCAAAACGGTGATTCACACTTGGAGACCTTCCCTCGTCAGCCATATGTAAATTATTGTATTCGATTAACGGATCGAAACTAAGATAAAAATAGTAGGAGACGGGCCGAAAGTACAGTGCTTGCCGTGAAACGTGTCTAAAATAATAAAAGATCATCGCAAAGAACTCGCCGACGTCTTATTTCGTAGGAAAATGTTTGCTCTACATGCATAATGGTGTAAAAGAATTTTGTATATCCAGATCTTTGAGCCTTGTATCAAAATTTTGAAAAGTAAGAAAATGATGGAACCTATGCATTTGTTGTTGTGCTATCTGGACGATTCTTCACCTTGAACGTCTGACTTCACGTAGTAGTATAAGTACAAGCACCGAACTAGCCATATGATAATTTTAGGTTCAGGTTATGTCAGAGACAATTGGAATGTTTGGTTACATGGACGTAAAATTCCAGGTGTAAAAGCTGGTTCGTTTCAAATTGGTCATTGAATATTAAAACGCTAATGATGATTGTGTAATTTAATCTGTGAAATAAAAACTTCCAGAATATTTTGAGAACCTTTGACACCGTTTTCTTTCACACGAATAACTTCGAATTGATAGGAAGTCGAGAGTTCTAGCTGCAAATTTTTAACTGTTTTCAATGTATTCAGAACGCTTATTTTGCATTTGTTATCGGTGAAAAGCTAGATCACGCATAATAGCGACCGCGACAAGAAAATCGTCTACATCAGTGCTGTCCTTTTCTTTCACTTTTTATAATCTGCTATCCGACTTGTAAAAGCCAGTAAATACAGGTATTAGCCACGCCGCTGCTGTCGACAGAATTTTTATAATTTCATGCCGCCACCGTTAAAGACGGAAACATATTTTTCAACTTTTCGCCACCACCACTGCCAAAGTTTTCAGTTTGCCACGCCGCCGTCGGTTTAGTAATCGGCTAACACCTGCATCAGTGAATCATCATGTTGTGTCCATCGAAATTCTGCGATGTATGTTAGATCTCGGATAGTTTGTGTTTCCATTGAGAAATGGGGACGATAGATGAAACTCTGAGCATTATAATCTTGTAATGCTATGATATCCTGATTAATAAATCTAGTAAATTCAAAATGAGTTTTACCGCAAATACTATCGATAACGATAGACAAATTAACTTGCAAATACAAATGTAGTGCGTAAGACTCGAGAAATACCATCATGAAAGAAATCGCTAGTAGCGAAAGTGTGCGACTGGTGTTGAATAATATTTTGACAATTTATACAGCTTTCCTATCGAACCGTTGAAGTGACTTTCAATGTGAGAAATTCTATTATAGATCTGGTACTAAGATTTGTTCTGCACTGTTTTTATTGTCGGTACATTCTTCATTGGTACTTATATACTTGTTCGATGAATTTAATATTTCCATCTACCAGTCAGTAGTACATATAATCAATAAATACGCTCTTATAGATGATCGTACTCCTCCTTCCCATGAAAAAAAGTTATTTAAAACGAACGGCCAAGAACGCGTTCTTGAAGAAACGGAACACGTTTTATAGACTAAGAACGCGTTCTGAGAAAAATAAACGCGTTCGAACGGATGATTGAGTGTTGATGTTCTGTTTATTAAATGACTTTCGCCAAATGTCTCTTTCATATCATCAATAATTTCCCCGTTGTCAGTGCCTTCTGTTTTTGGTGAAAAAAGTGTCATAGACAACTGTTAACTGAAATGAATAATTTGTGTTTAATAGAATTATTGACATCAGTTTTTTTTGTTCGTTTTATAATCAGCATCAACACTCGAAGATATTATCATTGAGAAGAACTTATTATTAAGTTACAGCACAGAACAGTATGAATTTCAACATCTTTCTTGTATTAATATTATTAACCGCTGCACACATAGCAGAATCTCGTTCATCTCGTCATCGTTTGCTCAATCAAAGATTATATCATGACAACAACCCTGGTGAACGTTATGGATATCACAGATTAGCAAACAATGGTTTTGGAAATTTTGGTGGTCGTACACATAGTGGTCATTTCATTATTCCACAAAATAATGACTTTGATGGCCTTCGGAATGGTATTGATTTCCCAGTAGATGATGATTTTCATGGCGTAACTGGCAGTGGTGCTTATACTCAAGACGCATTTAATGTTTATTATAATGGTAAAAAGGTTGAAGGGTTAAAAGCTCTGTTTTTTAAAGATTTAGGATATGGTTATGCTAAAGACAATTGGGATGTTTGGTTACGTGGCCGTAAAATTCCAGGTGCAAAAGCTTCGTCATTTGAGTTATTAGAAGATGGTTATGCAAAAGACACATGGACAGTTTATTTTATGGGGAAACCCGTTGAAGGGCTAAAACCAATATTTTTCAAAAATTTAGGTAAGTACTATCGTCGTCAAAATACGGCGATCCTGGTTGCTTTCTGAATAACTTCTCATACGAGACAGATAGAGACCTGCGATTTTCGCTGTTCGATAGCCAAGACTTGAGCGGAACTTTTCACAAGCGAAAATAACTTTCGAAAAAATTTCAAAGCTCGGGTTTCCAAAGGATCTTTGGAAAACTAGCTCCGTTCTGAGAAAACTAGCATACAATATTAGTAATTTTCTTGCATGCATACATAGTCCGGACGTTAATCTACAAAATTATGCAAGTCCCGGCTCTCCGGCTATCGTCGTTCGGACAGGACACGCTTTCTCCGAGCAGACATCTCTGGGAATCCCGAAATGCCACGGAATATAGGTAATCGACTACGCTGAGCATAGTGGCAACATTTGTGTAGAAATGAAAATAACTTCACCAGAGGCACTTTTGTGAAAAACCGGTTTTTCGCCTGTTACTACTAAAAATTAAAATCCTTACATCTCGATCAAATCTCATGCTCACTCAACGAAACTTTTAGGAAAACCTTAAAAGGTGCCATATATTGTTGATCACGCCGAAAAAGTGATCCAGCAGAGCACTGATGCTTTGAGGTTTTTCAGAAGGTTTCTGGAAAACCTTAAACCAATGCCCGGCTGAAGTTCACCTTCTTCGTCTTCGATTATACTTTATGAGCTGTCCTGAGCGTTTTTTGAAAA